ACTCCCGGGAAATACTTTGGATCTACCTTTCTTCGCCCTATTGAAGCTATGGAAACGCTCGGGGTACAGAGCTGCTGAATCAAAAAGAATTAGTCCGTTATTTTGACACTAAAACGACTAACTTCTTTCTCATTAACGCTTTTTACGCTAACCTAGCAGACCATTCAATAAAGCTTTTATAGTAATGCTTCTTCACCCGTATGTAATCATTGTTAATTGCTCATTGTGCATTGACCAAAGTCCCGGTTGTGATTGCTTTGTTATGGTGGAGATACGCTTTGGAATATGCCCCCCCAATCTGTTTACAAAACCAACGGTCTGTTTTGCCGATGTAACGCCTACGTGCTTACAAACAAAGCGATGAATGCAGCGCTTTGTGGTGGCTTACTTTTCCCAACACATGACCTTCCACATTCAGCTTATTGCTTTTTTGTTACCTTACCGTTTGCCATTCTTCTCGTTTGTAAATGAACAGGAAACACGCGTCTAATTATTGTGCTATTTAAGTCAATACCTTGCACTCAGTGCTCCAAATATCTATTTACTTATCTTCAGAATACCCTGCATGTCAAACCTAAATTTTCATCTGGTCCCTTCTCAAGCATTTACTGTTCACAGAGGGTAACAACTTGGTCAATTAATAGCTCTGAACCGTTGCAGCAAAATCTGCTTGATCCGCACCCCGGAACCATTTTGGATCCTTGTTTGTTCCTTGGATCTGCGACTTCTCCATGCTTTTATTGTCATGCTTCTCAACTTTCTTTAAAGTACCGTATGGTATCAAATAAATGCCCGTCCGTGGATAAGCCGAGAGTATAACTTCTAAAGATAAATGTGTCCAAATTCGCAAGTCTTTACTAGCGGACTCCCAAAATCGGTAAAAAGATAAACGAAATTGTTTCTTCATGATGTTGACTTCATCACTACCTGCTATTACTTGCGTGTGTTCAAACGAAACCTGCTCTAATATTGGTCAGTTGGCGTGACCGTTTCTTGCATTGTAGAGAATAAATGTTGATTTGAATAGAAAATAGGAAGACGCATGTTGCAAGATGGTATCATTTCGTACCCTGTTCAGTCCCTTATGAGGCTGCGCTGTCCCGTTTCCGTGACCGCGTTCAACGTTCGCACTCTAAGACAAATAGGTAAACAGGCTGCACTCGCATGTACGTTGGACACACTGTCTATTGACCATAATATATAAACCCTTTTTATTTGCTAGCCAAACTAGCGCCAACGGGACATCACATGATCCAGGAAACCGTCCGCCACACCAGAGGGTGGTGCTAAAGGGAGATAGTGGGGCTGCCACAATGGCGGTGAATTCCTGAGTGGATTTTGCATGTTATCTGTTCAAATGCGTATGGACATTTTATAACCCGACCCCCTCCACAGAAATGAAACTTGTCCAAAACTTATCGGCGTATATTCGGTAAAATACGGAATGTTACCTGCGAAAATTCTACGACATTCTCGGTCTGATTGTTTCGTTTCACCATTGCGGTGGCTAGTCATGATTTGAAGCGTCCTGCGGAGAGCTAACTCTCTAACTTTGTATGCGTGTGTTCTCCGAGCTGGCTGATTTGGTTGCAAACGTTTCATCGTCAGACTAGACGACATCTTCAGTGCGGTTTATGCGGGCCACTCTAAATTTGTGCTTAGCCACACATTTGTTTCGTGGAGCTTACTTAACGAACACGCTACTGGCTGGGGGAATCGAAATGACTATGTAAAACCGGAGTTCATTGCAGACAAATTTTATGAGGGCTCACACCCGTACACCGAGTTTGGGATCTGGAAATGACCACAGTGACCCACCTTATCAGAGACAACAACGCACCATCTGATTTCACTTCTCAGATATTGCTCGACTAGCTTGGTAACCTTGGTTGAAGGGCGACCTAGAAGCGATAGAGGCACCACAACGAAGAGCAACTAAGAATGTAAAGGGCCTGCGCTATCACTCTTACCACCGAAGGCTGAAGTTGCTGGAAGTTTTCAGCGGGCGCTATCGGAGGCTGCGCGGGGATCTCATATCAGCGTATCAGATACTGAGTGACCCCAACCACGTATGCCGCCATTTGCTGAAACTTAGCCACAGCACTTAGCTCAGGTGTAACTACTTAAAATTGAAGGAACAATATAGTTGTCTAGAGTGTCGACGGAATTACTTTTCCCTTCGGGTTTACCAACCCTGGAACGCACTCCCAGACTGAGTTGCATCCTCTCCAACCTTGGACTTTTTCAAAAAGGGTTAGATGTTGCTCTCAGCTCCCAGCATTTCATTACCTAATCTCCTCCATTGTGGATTACGCGAAGCATGCTTTACAACAAGATTTATGTATCAAATGGACCTAAGTGAGCGACCATACTTTACTTTTCTCACTCCTTACATCAACGATCACTGCACCCCAGTGTCTTTCTGAACGTTTACGCGCGTTAATTTTTTTAATTTTACACTGATGTTAATTATCAAAGTATTCATCTCGGCAGACGTTCGATAGATGACCCAGACATATTTTGATTTCATCATATTCACCTCAACCATCCTACGGGATGTGTCAAGCACTTGCTTTTATCCCCCGGTAAATCATTGTCCAATCATTGTATTCCGAGTGGTTTGGAAAATCGTTGCATGTATGTTGCGGAAGCAGAGTGTAGGATTGTTTTGGATATCCACGGTGACCGAATTCACTGAAGATCCGATAGGGCCCAGTGTATACCGATACCGTCTATCCTGTAACACTTACTTACTCAGAATTCACCGCAACGTCGATTGTAGCGATCTTGAGCAATGAGAACTCAGACTAAGACGGCTTGACAAGATTGGTCTATAGAAATTCATGGGATGGCGAATGCACGTGATATGAAGCCAACTCCCACTAAGGAGCCTGACTCAGTGTGTTTAAGACAAAATCGTCTTGCTGCATGGTGGTCTCTAAGCTACAAAATCAGCCGTGAACAAACTGCCTGGAATAGTTTCACCCTTTCGGCTTGTGACTTCGAACTACGATTTGAATTTTGAGTTATCGGCCGCTTTGGGACTCTTCAACTCTTGAAGGCATGATACGGGCGGTAGTTGTTGGATTTGCCTATTGGTAGTTGCATTAGAAGTTACAGCTTAACTGCTGAAATCAATTCAAGTATTCTAAACTCTGGTACTGGGTTTAAGAAAACCGAATAAGAAATCCAGCAGTCTTGAAGTACCTGATAGACAAGAGAAATGAAATCCGTTCTCCTCTGCGGTACCTTCGGATGTTCGAATCATGTGTAGGGAAAATTAATTTTGTTGGGTAGCACCAGTATGTCCACAAAGATATGGGAGGCGATAATAACAGAGAGTGATCAAGTTCCTTCGCTGAATCAACAGATAGAACTGAATTGTTTACAGTAAGCCGGACACATTTTACGTAGGTATGGAGTGTCTATGCTTGCCCGACACGGAGTGTAGCAAACTCTTGTTTTGCAATCAGTTACTTAGCAGCTAGGAATGGCTTCTCCAACTAATGGAACATTCACAGTAGATCCGTATCAACCTTAGGTTGGAAGCTGATGCGATCCATCCTGTAAAGGACATGAAAACTTATAGGATACGGTTCACGCTCAACATCACTGGTGCGATTGTGGTTGTCACCTTATCAGACCAGCTGGTTTTCATGTATATGTTGTGGTAGTTGAAACCTAGGCGAATAAAATCGACGAACGACGAATAATCAGGAAGCTGCTTGCAAAGGAATTCGTTGCGATGGCGGTCAATCATGTCCTCTGCAAGTTCATATTGCATAACAGTGAAGAATGAGCCGCGCTATATCGCGGTTAGATACCACTCATGACGGTCCGTTGCCGTCACTCTCTGCTCAGTGGCATAAGTCGATGGCTCGTAAGAGCAAGGTCGTGTGTAGGAATCCAGTAGGCTTCGGCAGGTACGCGCTACTGGAGAGTATCATTAGGACGAAAGGGCCATCTGGATGTGTGGTAGCTGTCTGCCTGAGTCTAGGAATCTTCACCAATTAAGCACTGTCCACAACTACGTGGATCAAATGGACAACACATAAATGGTGTGACCTAGAATGAACGACTTTTAAGATGGTTCTGAACAAGGGCGAAGCGGATTGTGACTAGTACCTGGACGAATAGCACACGCACATCAATAAACCCAAGCTGACGGTACGGAGTGTAATGATGGCTGGTCAGCTGGCAGAACGGAGCAGGCGCATGCCTGTTTCATGGAAAATCAATCAAGCACCGCTCACGCAAGCCGAGGATATTTTCACTGAGTGCGATACTAATCAAGAATCAGTGTGGCCCAGCATGAGAGTTTCATTGTGAACCGAGACACTACGGATATGACTTAGCTCAAACAACAGCAGCGCACGAGACGAATGGACGTAACCCAACGGCTATAGGACACGCTAGGTAGAGATAAAGGGACAAAATTACAAGTAGCAAAATGACTCTTGTTCATAAACAACAGCTTTGTTTTGACCCTTGAATGGTTCCTAAGAAATGGATTTTTCTGTGTCATATGATTGTTTATATCGGGGGATATAAAAGCCGCTAGGAAATTACTGTACCTGTGTTTCCCTATATTTACCTAATAGGCAAGCTGCTGCTAATGCTCGATGTTCTCCCCACATAAGCGTCTATCTCAAAGATGACTTCTTAATGCACCAGGTCTTGTATGTAACACGCTTTCATGCCATTGCCCACTAACTCTGGGTTCAACACTCTTAGAACGCGGCTGAATGTCAGCGTATCTCTAGTTCCAACTTCTGATGTACTGGACGTCAGGCGGATGCTGGCGTCGCTATTACTGTCGCTTGTGGTGGTGGCGACGCGGCTACTGCGGATGATGATGATGATGACACCATCCTGGCTATCGTAGCTGTACCGTAGTAACGCTTCAGCCACCGTTCGAAATGTTAACCAAGTTTCCTCTTGCGACCGCCCGCTTACCACAAATTTCACTCCTTGTCAACAATTCATTCTAGAGAAAGGACATGTTGCGTCCAACCAAAGCCAACAGAGCACAGTCAGTCTTTTCCCTAGGACCTGACGAACCTGCATTAGTTGATCACGATGGGAGGGCGCGCAGCACGTCTGGCCCTCGGTCAACGAAATCGAGCAAAAGTGTGGCCATGGACGAGTCAGCCACATTGGAGGAACAATTCCAGACAAGTGAGTACAATGTGTGAATGTGCACGAGCACGTTTCAATTCCCTGTGTAAATGTGTCATCGCCATCACTATTTTGATTCAACTGACTGTTTGTAAGATAATTTAACAGTTTTGTGAATCCAAGAGGCTTGGATATTTGACCACTAAATAATACGTGTTATGCACAAAAACACCGTAGACACTTGTAGTGGTAGATGAGCTTTCGAATAAACGTGACCGACAACCTAAAGACAAACAGGGAGCCAATAAATCGAGAGGGATGACAGCTGATCATGATCACAAGAGCCGGGGAGACAATTGGAATGGTCTCAGCTCAAAGCAAACGCAAACAAACTTGATGACGAACGACTGTGAAGCGGAATGGTTTGAAATGCCACAGGTTAAGTATCCCGCATTAACGACATGGGATGCGGGCGATCCACGGTGTAAGCGGAGTTGATGGCGGGTAACTAGTGAAGAAAGACCGATCAGATACCGTCAAAGCGAGTTGACAATAACCGTGAGGGCCAGAGGGATATTGGAGATTTGGTGCAGCCAATTATGAGTCAAAATGAACGTGACACTATACGGAGCAATGAACAAAGGACAATGATTTAACACGGGTTAAAAAGCAAGTTGCGTAGGATGATTGGGAATAATAGTATAATCTCAAAATGTATGTGAGTCGTCTACAGATCGTCTATCGAATCAAATGCGTTAATATGTAATCTTAGTGAAAAGCTCAAAGGCAAGCGCACAGAACAACAGAGGGTGCAGTGATGGTTGACGTGGGTTGGACTTCGCAGAGCGGATGGGCGGCGCGCACTGGACAATGCATCTAGACAGACGGCAGAAGAACGATAACGAAGTGTGATTATCGCGAAGCCACTATTATCGAATAGTGCTTCGTAAAATATATATATATATATATGTATATTTGATTTTACGCCTCACCAATATCGGTAGCTGATCAATACGCTGACTTTCTTTTATACTCGGAAGTCAACAGAGTAATATTTGCTCGGATGAGATGCTGCCCAGTTATACCATGCTTCTGGACAGCTCATTCATGAACGAGTAGTCAGTGAGGCCGTTACGATATGAAGACATGTTTGCGACAATACTGGCGTCCAGTCAACTACACATTGCCGGTGCTTGCAATTAGGTACGGTATCACATGCACCCTATAAGTTGGCACTAGATTGGAAGAACGAAAAGATGAGGAAACTGATGAAAAACACAGAATGGCAAGTAGGAGTCACCATCATCATGCACGTTAGCTAGAGGTGGGAAACACCTCAGCTACTGTGCCGCAATACATAGATGAAAAAAGGAGAAAATAAAAGGCAACTGGTGCAGGCCGGCTGAGCTATCGGTTACGGATGGGCATCGTTCCGATAAGCTATAAGCCGGCTACGGTGCATCCAACAAAATTACTGTGCAAAATTCTATAGGACTAAATAGTGAGATCGTGGTTGAAGGGGGAGGCTAAGAGGGATGGGGTGAGATAAAATACTCACAGCACGAACGCCACTGAGGTCGGCTGCTAGCGATATCAGCAAGTGTATCCAGCCAAACGTGTTCATCGTCTTTCGGACCCCACCCAGTGAGCCGAGACGCTCCAACCGAAGCCAGCTCCGAAGTGAGGGACTTCATTCCTCTCGACCAAGTCATCGCTTGGCCACCCCACCACTTCTTCCATCCACATCCCAGGCGCGCAAATAACGCACGTCGCGGTAGTCGGTGGGCTGGCATGCGTAACACGTGGCCGAGCCATCGGAGCCTGGTGCGTGAAATAAGGGTGTTGAGCGGTTCAGTTCCTTTTCCTGTGCCGTAAACAAGGCGTCGAACACGCTCGTTACTCACGCGATGTTCCCACCAGATGTGAGCCAAAATACGATGGCACCGATATTCCAACGTAACTAGCCTCTTTATGTGCGCTGATCTAAGGGGCCAGGTTTCACAACCGTACAGTAGGGTCAAACCTGTCGCTGCATTGTACACTCTACCCTTCAAGGCAAGAGTGATGTCGCACCGGCGCCATAAGTGGCGAAGGTTAGCAAAAGCGCCCCGAGCTTTTGCTATACGGTTCGTGATCTCATTTTCAATCCCACGGGCACTGATATAACTTTACAGGTAGTTGAATTTTTGAACGACTTCTAGCAGAGCTCCACCAGAGGTCAGCGTAGGAGGCGATTCCTGTCAATCTTGGAGGAACGCTTTGCATTTCGAGGGTGCGAAGCAAAGCACGAAGTGACGGACAGCCAGTGCTAATCCGTGCATTGGCGCTTGGCACGTTTGTGAGCTCTCACAGATTAGGGCAAGCACTTCAGTATACACTAAGTCAAGAAGTTCTCCTGGGAGCAGATCCACACCTTCTTATTCGTGTCCTGTAAACGCGATTTCCATGGCTTCGTCAATAGCGAATTTGAAGAGGAAAGCTGACAGCGGACATTCTTGCCTCACACCGCTGGATATATTAAAGGGCGACGGCAACTTGCCGGAAGCCCTCACTCTGCCCGAGCTACGCGAATATAATGCTCGGATAATATTCACATATTTCTCAGGTACACCTTTCCTGAGTAGATAGTCCCAAAGTGCACGTCTATCCGCCGAGTCGAGTGCACCTTTGATATCGAGGAACATGACAACGGTGGGCGGCCAATATATGTGATGGTGCTCCAACAACGGAAGCAAAGTGAAGATGTGGTCAACGCAGTCACGAACTCGAAGAAATCCGGCTTGCTGTTTACGAATCTGGCTTTCACGGGTGCCAGTCAGTCTGTGAAGGATGACAGAGCCAAGCAATATGGAGACGATGGAGAGCAGACTGATTCCTCTATGGTTGCCGCATTCCGAACGCGAGCCTCTCTTGAAAATTGGGACTGTGACGGAGCGGCTCCAGTCGGTTGGGACAATTTCCTGCTTCCACAGTTTCACTAGCAACTGACGGAACTCATGCACAATAGCAGGTCCCCTGAATTTAAAGAGGGCTGGAAACAGATCATCTGGTCCCGCGGCTTTATTTAACTTCAACAGTACGATCGCACGTTCGACTTCTGAGCGAGAGGGTGCATCCAAATGGGCATCACAGGGATCGGGGCGATCAGTGGCCTGCGAGAAAACTAACAATTCAGATCGATGCAATCGCCTTCCAATATTCTCAGACCAACGCTCTAAGCGTTTTGACAAGTTGTGGATAGGCTGTCCACTCACGTCACATCTGGTTTCACTAACACCAGGTCTCCTGCTGCCCGTTTCCCGTATCAGACGGAATAACTTACGATGGTTACCAAGGGCAGCGGCCATTTACATCTTCTAAGCACGATGAGACCAGCAAGATTCGCTGTCTGTCTTCAGGCTAGCACGGAGTTTCGCCCGGAGCTCTTTGCGAGTTGCATTGTGTTCGCTTCCAGTTGAAATATGCCGGCGAGCATCAATTAGTCCCAGAGACTGCGAAGAGACCCAATGTCCATGTTGGCGATTAGACATACCACATGAGGATTTTCCTGCTGCTAGTATGGTCAGGTGAATATGAGACCAGTGGGCTTCACTTGTGTCCAGTGAGCGTTTATCCAAACTTGCATGACAGCATACTTTGATAGGCATTCCGAACAGCTGGCTTCGCCAGTTGGCTGGTGTCAATGCGGTCACAACGTCGTCGGGGCGTCCGCTAAAGCGCATCCGCAGGTCAGCACATACAAGTGCTTGGACGGTGTCCACACCTGTGCTCCAAATCGACCGAACGTTCTGGACGCAGCCTCTCCATCGGTAACTGATCGCAATGGGATCGATTTGCGTCCAAAGCTGGTTCCATGCTGGTGCGCTTCAGGTCACCCTCCGGCGGGTGCCGTGTCGGAAATTAGTGCTCGTAAGAAATAAGTCAGCATCCTCACACAAATGAAGTAACCGCTCCCAGTTATCATTACGGGAGCTTACACCATGTTGGCCGCCCAGATGCAGCTCATGAGTGGATAATTTTTCAACTTGAGCGTTCTGATCCTCAGGCAGCACAACAGTGTCCGAGCTTCTTCTGTGACGAAGGAGCTCGTTCAATTGACGACAGAAGTCGTCTTTCACCGAGTCATCGCTAGAGTTTGTGGATGTGCATAGGCAGCGATAACGAATAGACACCTGTTAGTCCCAGGCGACTTCGAAGCTTTGAACGAGCCGGCCAATCGGACGGCACACATCCGCCTCCTGATTGGAATCCAATCAACCAGAGTAGCTTCAGCCCGGGGACTCAGGGCAATACCAACACCGGCTTGGCCGGTACGCGAAGCTGCATCATAGCCGGATAGGCGCAATGAGAAATTGTTGCTAGTACCACTTGTAGGGGATCGCAAAGTGAGCACAGAGCTCGAGTCTTGCAGGCGGGTCTCCGATAAGCAACAGATATCGATCGAGAGGGTCTCTAATATTCGGGCGAGTGCTTCATGTTGACCGATCTGAAGCAGTGTGCGAACATAGAGGCATGCTAATCTGAAGAAGGATCGAGGGCCCGAAGAAGGATCGAGGGCTCCAAATGAAAGCCGAGGAACTGGGCTTGACTGTTTGCCTGGACATGGTCCTGTTGACAGGGCAGGAATGACGCCCTGCGTTCACATGTGAGTTGAAAGTAAAAGACAAGCTACTATTGAAGCAAGGTGAGGGAAGGTTGAGAATTGGAGGGTTGAAAACAGGGGGATAAAAGAGATGCTGGAACGGGACGATAAGGGTGCAAAAGCAAAAGAGGGGGAATAAGAAGACGGGAAGGCTTGAGCAGTAGCATCCAAACCCCTATCCACCCTGCTCGATGCAGCAGCTAGGGCACCGTTGATTATCCTCTGCGGTGGCCAGAGCATCAATAAGTTGTTTGAGGGAAGATTCATAGTATTTGGTGGACAGGATACTGTCAAGTTGCCCATGCCTAGACAGGAGAACGCTTAGGGTTCTCTACCAAAGTCTTTGGTTCAAAAATTTGTCCGCAAGGCAGCGGGTTTGGCAATGGGCTAAAAGGAGTCCGTTTTAAGTAATAAGGAG